ACATAAAAAACAAAGCCAAAACAAAACTACAAAAACAAACAAGTTGCAACTTGGAGGAAACAGACTATAGGACATGAAAATAGAAAAAAGAGAAAAGCTACATCAAAAACTTCAGAGAGGGCTGGGGATTGAGCTCAGTGGTTCCTCCACCTGCCACACAAGCACAAGGTCCCGAGTTTGATCCCCTGCACCAAAAAACCCCCCCAAAAAACCACTTCAGAGAAATGAGGTTCCTGAAATGTGAGATTTTATTGAAAATAAACATTCAGAACAAAGTAAAACAAAAGAAAAATCAGAAATTGAAAGTATGATAATTTAACTAGAGGAATTTCATATTAGAAGAGAAACTTGACAAACTCTTCCAAAATTAGATAAAAAGATAAATGGAAAATATGAATATCATAAAAAACTAGGGAAGAAATATACCAACAAAAACGTTTGTGAGAATTTTCCACAGCTGAATTAAGAATATGAATTTCTACATTTAAAAGGCCCAACATATGTCTAGTAAATAAATAGAGAATTATACAAGATCCAGAAATAATACATTTTAAAATTCAGAGGACAATATAAAGATCAACAAAGTTTTCAAAGGGGGAAAATAAACTAGATATAAACAATCAAGATTCAGAACTAGAGAGGACTTCTTCAGGGAACACAGAACACAGGGATAAAGTGGAGTAGTGCCTACAAACTTCTGAGGAGAGCAAACTTACCTTCCAGATATTCTGACTTCGGTGAGGCCTTTAGAGATTCAGTCCTAGCTTCATTTGCTTTTTTTTTTTTTTGGTACCGGGGATCAAACTCGGGTCCTTGCGCTTGCGCAGCAGGCAGCGAAACCACTGAGCTAAATCCCCGGCCCTTCATTTGCTTTTTATGTATCCTTTTTCATGAACCTAGTAGAGAAGGTCCTTTATTCTCCCCAAAGAGGGAGAGGCAATTAGAAAAGACTTAGAATCCAACAGACTGGGGAGCCTACATGTTTGAGAGCCCAAGGAAGTTTCAGGACAACAGTACTTAAAGATGCCAGTCAGGGTTGTACCAGAATCACAGTTCCAGGCTGGGCTTCATGTGATCAGGGACAGACCTCGCATTAACCTTGAGCCTCCTATAAAACACACGCTTCTTCAGACCCCGCTGACATCGTGATCACTGACCCCCGAAAGGTGTGGGCGGGCAGTGCCTTTCACAGATCTTTCAGGATCTTCCTCTGTCTCCGCTCACAACCCTCCCCCAACTTTATCAGAAATGAAACCCTTAAAATTCTTTTTTAGGGGTAAATCTTTAGTTTTAGAATAGTTTCAGACACACAGAAAACTTGTAAATATAAGTAGCCAGCATTTTTTCTCTCGCTTTACTTCTGTTAACTAAATAGTTCATTCGGTTTCACTAATTTTTCCCCATTCCAGGATCATATTCCAGAGTATAGCCCTATATTTAGTCAACATGCTTCCTCACCTTCTCTAGTCTGTGACCATTTCTCAGACTCTTCCTATTTGTGATGACTTCTTTGGCCTTTCTGAAGAGCATTGGTCAGGGCAATGTTCTTCAGTGTGAGTTTTCTGATTTTTTAACATGGTTAGAGTAGAGATAGGGATATCTTGGAGTAAGACCACAAATATCAAATCTTTCATGCTGTCAGCATGACTTTTCACTGGTTACCACTGCTCACAGAAATGTGGGCCCCATTTCTCCATGGTAGAGTCGTTTATTTCTTCTCCCCATACTCCACTTGTCAGAAGGAAGGAACACAGCACAGCTCACACTGCAGGTGTGGAAAGTAAGGTGGATCTATATCAATTATTTGGAATTCTTCCATAGAAAAGATTTAGCTTATCTCTTATTTATTTAATCTTGGACTAATGAATATTTGTTTTATACTTTGGGATACAATTTAATGTCATTTTATTTATTTTGTTGCTTAAATTATCCAGGTTTGTCCATTGGCAGCTTTGAGGTCAGCCCATCAATCCCTCTGACATGCCTCACTTGTTCATATTTGTGGTTTGTTTTTGTCATGCCGGGGATTGAACCCAGGGCCTTCGCGCTGAGCTACATCCCTCGCTCTCTCTTCATTTTTTGAGATAAAGTCTCACTAGGTTGCTAAGTTGCCCAGGTTGGGTTCAAACTTGTGATCCTCCTGCTTCAGCTTCTAAGAGTTCTGGTATTATAGGCACACCGTGGCACAACACCACACCCAGCTCATTTTTGTGTTTTGAGCACTCTTTACCATTTGGAACTACGGGATGCTCTAGGGTCATTTTGTAGATTCTCTGCTTCAGCCCCATAATTAGCCATTTTTTCTGAGGAATTATTCTAGAAAACATCATATGTCCATTCATTATTGCTGTAATTCTTTTTTTTTTCTTTTTTAAGGACTCCATCCACTTTCAAGTTAAGAGCTTTCTGGAATATCAGAGAAAGATAATGTTAATTTTCCACATAATAATGTACAACTTACGTTGACACCTTAGCCTAGCTTCCTGTAAGACACAGACTATATTAGTTGTCACATATTATAGAAAGAAATTACCAGAAGCTGAAATTTTCACTCTTAACTTTGTAACCTCAGAAATATTAAGTAATATTTTACAATCCTTTTGAAGAATGTTAATCAGATATTTCAAGAATTAGATTCAATGATATAACATATTTTAAGAGCAGGAACCCTATCAGTATGTTGAATAATTAGTATTTGTAATCTTTGATTTTGTATTAGGAATATCTCAAACTCTTCAACTCTTTTTCTTTTTTCTTGGTACCGGGGATCTAACTCAGGACCTTGCGCTTTCGAGGCAGGTGAGGTGCCACTGAGCTAAATCCCCAGCCCAACTCTTTTTCCTTTTGAGACACAGTCTCTCTATGTATCTCAAGCTGGCCTGGAATGCACTATGTCATTGAGGCTGGCCTTGAACTCACAGTGATCTTCCTGCCTCAGCATTCTGAGAGCTGGGATTACAGGCGTGGGCTACCACACCTGGCTCAAATCCCATGGTTGAGTCATTCAGTGTGTGCATAGCTGTCTAGCTGTTCTCATTTTTATTTTATGTGTAGAGTGAAAAAGATGTTTTCACTCTACACATAAAGTGAATAAACACTAAAATGAAAACAATTACTTCAGAAAAGGGCCCTTAAATTAATCTGGACTCTATACTATATAAATGCGAATTCAATGTTAATTGTATTTTTTAAAGTTACATTTGTACTTACAGTTACTAGGCTCAATTCAACTGTGTTAAATGAAATAATCTGGTTATTAGACTTACGATGGGATTTAAACGTTCTAGTGAGGGGGAGACTAAAATATTATTTTGTTTAAATTAAGTTTGCAATTCAAAGGCTTTGTTAATTTGGGCTTCCAAGTTCTACTTTTCAACACAATAGAGTGTTAAATGTAATATCTTTGCTTCAAAGGCTGTTGCTTTCAAATCTAACTTTTACTTTGAAACTAACTGGAAGAAACTAAGTGTATCCAAGACATACCTAATCCCCTAGGAGTCAGCATTGCATCGAGTTTATTAAAATTAAACACTTCTTTTTTCTTCTCTTCTCCTCAAATAGGCATTTGGTAATAAAAGGCAAATCAGCTGGGTTAGGATAAAACAGGCGAAGTTTTTCCTTCACTGATTCATTTGGAAAAGTCTCTTTACTAATTGAGAAAAATTTAATGAATTTTACTTGTATTAAAATAAAAGTGATTGCTTCATGGCAATAATGTACTCATTTGAGAAAGTCGTTACATTTATGTATTGTATTTTCATGTAAATACTTTCGGCAAAATGTATTAGCAAGGAATATAATATTATGGTTCATGGTTCATGTGGTATCTGAAAAGACTAATTGTATAAGTAATCAGTGAAAACAAAGCAAACATTCCTCTTGGGTCTGTTCAACAAAAATAGAATTTAAATTATTCAAGCTGAAAAGTGCAAATATAATGCATCTCTACCAGCTGAAAAATAAAAATTTCAAGGCAAGACTTGTATATTCACTTCCTCCAAAAATTTTAGCTTGATTCTAGAACCAACTCATCAAAATTCACTTCATGCATTTTTAAAAGTCATCAAATATTTTATTTTTAAAAACAGGAAAATTATCACTCTTTTCTTGAACAACTCACTAATAATATTCAGAACACATCCTGGGGAAAATGCTAATCACTGCAGTGGCTGCAACCAAAATAGCACTTTAATGTATTAAACAGTAACATAAGATTAAATTCACAGTAAACTTAAGAGCAAATAACCAATAGCAATTTAAACAGATTAAATCTTGAGAAAGGGCAAAGTTTACAAAAGATCTGAAGCACTGACCAAATTCTGAGAACAATAGGCCTTGTATTAGACAACAGCACCCTCTACTGGAAGTTTGAGGCTGCCTGGGTAGGCGTTCCTGGAGGTGGGAGGAAAAGGAAGTGGGGCTGCTCAAGCCTCCATGAAGGTGGACCCCCAAGAAGTTGAAGGGTATTATCAGTTCTAGAATCATTTATTTTCTACTGTGCAATCACTAACTTCATGTTCATCACCTGAAGTTTGTATTATTCTCCAACTGTAAGTAAGCAAGAAATTGATCCATAAGTTTTTAACAAATATTTGGAGTGTCTTTATTTCAGAAAGCTAAAATTCTACAGTAAATACATAACATGAAAAAGAGATGTCTGGTATTCCAATTATCTTAATTGGACTTCCTTGGAATTGCTTTCTTTTTCTGTTCTTTGCAGAAAATATGTTTCTGAAGATGATTTGATCTGGTACCCCAAAAAGCATGCATGTTGGCTGTATGTGTACATTTATACACAAATGCACACATTCACACACACATCACATAGATACACAACAATGATATGCAGTCTATGGTTCAAAGAGAAACTTAGGCTACAAACCTCTGTAAGATGGGAAGTCTTCATGTCCAGTTTTCCCCCCAGTATCTAGGATTGTTTTTTTTTTCAGTGTTACTCTCTGGGCAAGTAAATATCCTTAAAATTATTTGCAAGAAGAAATATGAAAACTTCTAAGACATGATAAAAAGCAGTGATTTGACAAACAGATCAGCCATGTATAAGACACTTTCTTTAAAAAATTAATATAAAATATCCAACAGTACTTTGAATCCAGAAATCCAAATGAATCAAATAACTAATAAACTGGATTATATCCTATACTAAAGAAAGCTTCAGTCAAACGAATTTGCTAAATACTAGTATGTGAATGCCACAGGCAATTAAGTATGGTGATTAGAGAAATAAGCTGAAAGAAAAACCAGGAGCAGTCATTTTAACAGATGGGGCAGATGAATCTAAAATAAAATAAAACAAAGAGGGAAAGAGAAGCAAGTATGAAAACTAGGTTGGCCTTAAAAAGAAGTCTATATTTCTATGAACATATGGAAACAGCTCTCAGCTTTGCATTTTATGAACACCCACCCCACCACCTACAGAACCAAATGCTTTAATTTTGTGACTTAGATGTGAAAGGAAAGAACATTACCCGATCAAGGGGCTCCTCTGGGGGAGGTGATGCTCACTCCTCCAGCTCACTGAGGGGACAAGCTGATCCTCTCTTTCTTCCTTGGAATTTCTGAAGTCCGTAGAAGAGGCCAGGGGAAGCCAGATTGTAAGTACTATGTCCTATGTCTATCCCCCGTCCTGAAGGGCACAGTAAAGCCATTTCAGAAGGGGATTAAACATTGCTAGGCGTTGTCTCAGTTGGAGTGCTTGTTCCCTAAGGCGAGATGCACACCATGCCGTCTTCAAAGAGACAAGATCCACAGTATTTGCAGCTACAGTACAGGTGCTTGAGAGTGTGGGAAAAGCACACGGTCAGGACAGAAGCCCGAGATGGCGTCCCAGCTGGGCTCCGCCGTGTCCCTCTGACTGTGCTCTCACTCCTTTATGCCTGGGAACGTGTGTGAAAATGAAGACGGCTGGCAATTTTTCCAACTGAATCTCTGAAGGCAAAGTAATGTTGATGAGGATTTAGAGTTCAGACAAGACATTGTCTGTGCTTCCTAGCATGATCACCACACTGTGCGGAGATGGAAAATGTTAAGCAGAAGCAGTGAAAACAAGCAGCTGTGGAGAATTGTTCGTAGTATGAAATTTCCTTGTGAAAAAAAGAAATCATATGCATGTTTGTATGTACAGAGGAAATATTTGGAAACATAAATAAAAATGATTAATAGAGTGCTTATTTCCAGGGAAAGGAACAGTGGATGGTAGTAGAGTATTTGTACTGTATTTCTTCCATATTGCTTAAATGTATCTCCTCTTTTCTTTGTACCTTATTTATTTTTTTCTTTTTCACTTCTTTTCCTTGAATTATGAGCATATATTACTTTACAATAAAAAATAGTAAGAGTTTTTAAAAATAAAGAAATGATTACTGCACAAGAAGGAAACGTGCTCACAGAATTAGGAACTATAGTCAGTGATGTATCTTCCCCGTAATCATTCATTTATTTATCCCTCAACAGGTGTTGTTAGGGGTCTGTCTATATGTGTCAAACTCAAAACAGGCAGTGTAATACAAATTCAAATAAGACTCAAATCTCTTCCCTCAAAGAACTTGCAGCTTAGTGAGGAAGTGAGACAAATAATCTACATTCACAAGACAGAGCCCAGATCCTCTGCTAGCTGACTTGGCAACGCTGTGGGAGGAAGCCTATCTGGAAGATCTCAACAAGAGAAGTGAGCGTGAAAGCTGTCACCAAAAGATTCTGGGAGGAAATAACAGTCAGGTTCAACCTTAAAGCATGGACAAGAATTAAGAAGGAAAAAGAATGAAGGGGGCATTTTAGGCAAAGGGAGCACGCTGCTTTTGAGCTGGAGTGTGGAGAGAACTTAGAAGATTCTGACAACAGCAAGGTGTTCATTGTGGCTGGAGGGAAACATGGCTGCAAAGGGAACCAGAGCAGAGCTCAGAAGCGCTGAAGGATAAAGCTGTTATCCAGGTGCTGGGGGGAGAGGTGGAGAATGGAGCTTTTAAGACAGGTAGCCAAAAAACGCTGAGGAGCTTGTGGTCAAGATCTGTCCCAAGGCCATAGCAGTAGAAATAGAGAGGAGGGGAAAAAGCTGCAAATGTAAAGTAGGACTGGCAAGGTTCACTGATTAATTGTGTTTGGGGTAAGTCAGAAAGAAATGCTGGAGACAACTTACTTCCAAATTTCTGGCTTGGATGGTCAGTGCCACTGACGGTAATGCAAGACAGAGATTAAGCTGAATGAAGAAATCCAAAATATTTTATCTAAGCCAAACACTTTCAAATGGAGGTGTTTGTGGGCCTTCTGGAAGACAAAAGAGAGTTTAAGGTCAAGCACAAAGATTTCGAAGTTCTGGGGCTCAGAAAACAATACTCCAAAAGATGTCACTTTGGATTTAAAACTGAGTGCACCTTTGGGATCAGCAAAGGAACGTGAAGGCCTTCTCTGAAGTCCTTTTATCTGCCTACAGACCAGAGGGAGCACAGTTACCTCTAGTCTTTTACTGAAATTTCATTAACCAAGGAAGATTAAAGTCAGCTGATAGGGGAAGAGACGGAAAGTCCGACACCACACCTAGAGCCCAGAGGAACCTTACCCAGTCCGTTGCCTATTTTTGGGCCCCCTGATTCCCCCTACCTCATTTACTTCTCATTTTCTTCTACTTCAGTTTCTCTGAAAGTGTTAGTCTCCCATGTCACTCTCCCTCCTGGTGAGCCTGTTTAAGTCTCAGCCATCTGGTCCTTCTCTGAGTTCTTCATTTTGCGTGGCTCCCGTGCACGTGGGCCCAGTAATAAACAGTGGCGGCTTTCCTTCCTGTTAGCCTGTGTACTGTCATTCTCTTTCAGCATACTTGGTCAGAGCCTTCAGAGGAAAGGCGGGGACTTCCCTGCAGCACCCCTTCGGAGCAGGCTCCAGCCTCCTATCCCCACAGTCTCTTTTTCCTCTGCCACCCGTTTCCCCAACTAAGGACTGAAAACTCCTGTGGAAGAGTTCTGGCTTTGACAACGTGCCCAAGAGGCCAAGAGGATGCACAGTCTCTGCCGGGACCATTTCCCATAGGGACTATTTCCCAAAAGTCGAAAGAGTGCTGTGCAAAGCAACAAGTATTCCATCAGCCTCTTACTCACCACCTACCATCTGTGGAAAAAGAGCTCATTCTCATGACTGTGCCCTGAAATTCTATGATCCCAGAGCTCCTTCACCGCTCTTGTAGAAATTCCATCCTCTAATCACAGCCTTGCTTCACACCTCTCTCCTCCAGTCCCCACCTCACATCACACCTATTCTGGTATTCGGCTTCATCCAGGACTCCAATCAGCAGGTCCTTGCCTGTTTTCCCAGTGTATGACCTCTTCCTGCTTTTCTTGCTTGTCCAGTATGTACCCCATGGTAATGATACTTGGTCTGATTGTGGGGCCACTGAGGATCACGAGAAACTCACAGAATGCACTGACCATGTGGAAGATGGGCCATGACTGTTTGAATATTCACACTCCCTGACTTGTCTTCCTAGGAAACCCTTGCTTAGTTGGTGCTCAGCTGACATCTGCATAATTATCTCTGCAAAGTTCCAAATCAAGTTTGTTTTAAAGTTGCTCAAAACTTAGCCAGATCCTCTCCCCTTAGGAAACTCAGAAGATGCCAGTGAAGGTCTCCATAACTTTACAATGGCAACTTCTCTGCACCTTTAGAGAAATCTCACAGACCCTGGACTTTATGATTTACTCCATTTATTTTTTCAAAAAGTATTCAAGAAATATTTGCTAAGCAAATGATATTTTCAAGTTATCTGTAGCCTCTAAAATGTTGTTCTATAAGCATTTTAATAAAATAGACCGAAAACTACTTCATTCTCTCTGCCAAATTGCCCACACCATCAGGGTCCATCGATGAGTACGGTGATAAAGAGAAACCAGGTCACATGGTTATCCCAAGAGGCATCTAGCAATACCAATATATAATGAACACGAACAGCCATCTGAAGAAGTAAGCCAAGAATCTGTGCATAAACATAGGACTTAAACCTGCACAATCAGGAACCCCCAAATTTCAATCAGTGATCTGAAAATTGCGTTTAGAAAGGGAAAACTTACATATTTACTTATATGGTGCCAAAAGTGGAGCTAGACCCACCTCTCTGAATGACACATCTGCAGACACTTTGGTGGGGGTGAGGGTGGGGGTTCATGGAGTCTTGTCCATGCTAAGCAAGCACTTTATCACTGATGTTTGTTGGTAATCTTATTTTCACTTTGGTAGTTGTTTGACTACAAGAACACAATATAGTAGTTGTACAGATGGAAATGCACCATCTTTCTAGAAGTTATATTTCTTATTGCCAATTGACAAGTTGTCTTAAGTCAGCCATCTCTACTGGGTTTAGTTATGTGAATTTCACCTCCAAATCCTAAGTCAGGGGATGGGTGCTCTACAAAGCCTAAAGTTTTTCTATAGAAGCCATAGAAAAGTAAATGCCTCCTTGTGAGACCCTCTGGCAGAAGGCTTGCTCACCCCTTTAGCCTTAGACTTGAATGTGACTCCTGCATAGCACCTTCTGTAATATTTGAATAGCAACACCAGGTGATAAGTCAACAAATAATTATCAACCAGGCCATGCTTATGTGTGGTTGTTAATATGAAGATAATTCTTATTGGTTGGGTGGCTGTAATGTATCAAAAATAGTGCTTAGTACTTAATGGAGGTACAAAAAAAAGTAGGTCAAATTTTATCCTTGAAATCTTATGTGCAACAGTGGAAAACTGAAATCAACCTAGACATCCAACTATAAAAATGAAGTACAACTAGTAAAATTATATAAAATTATAAATTAGTAAAAATGCATAAATGTAAAGACTAACAAGCTGCATATAAAAATGTTAATCAGGTATGTCTTTTAGCATCTGCTTTTTTCTTTATGTATTTAATGTCTTTTCTACAGTGAATATCTACTTTGTGAAGTTTTCATTCTGTTAATTCACAAAAAGAAACTATAGCGAAGTGTGTAAGTGGTGGGATCTTCCTTACACCTTATTTCACTGTAATGTGGGTGTTCTATAAAGACGACACTGAGTTTTTAGACCAAGTACAGTTAGACTGTCCCTTTGCTTTACTAAAGACTTAATCTGTCATTCTGCTGGCACATATTTGGTCCTCCATTCAAAGCACACTCCTGGAGCACAATCACCCCGGTTCTGCTTTATTACCATAGCAACATAATAATGACAAAAGCACACAGATCCTTCCCTCCCTCTCACACATGTGCCTGGTGCCATTTCTCTCATCTCCTGTCATTTATCACCTTTCCTGCATCCATTTTTTTCCATCTTTTTTTGTATGATAGTTTACTTTCTCAAAAAAAAGTCTCTATGTGGCAAAAAAGCAGGTATGTTTCTAATAAAGACATTATAAAAAGACACTGTGAATTGTAAATACAAATTGTTTTCTTTCTATTTTATACTCTTCAATATTCTTCTTAGTCAGCTATAGCTAAGGAACCATATTTCGGCTTGGTGATTTATCAAATCCACATTGCTGAAAACAAATGGTTTCAATATACGCAACTTAATTCAAATGAGATAGCAGGAGAGAATTTACAATGGGGGAGCCACTAGCAGTAACTGGGTTTTTGGCAAGCTTTTTTCTACTCCTCTTTGCTCACCCTCGCACACACATACAAAATACATCCACTACTAACTTTGGCAGCAGTGGAGAGGTAGGGCTGCCACGAGAACATCAGCGATAAACGCTTTCTTCTTGTCTTCGGTCTGCTATGCGGGACATGGACATGACAGCTGGAGGCACAATTACCACCCTGGACCACAGAAGACCTCAGGAATGGAGACCGTGCATGGCCAATTACAAAAGAAGCCACAATAAGCCACATTTCTTCAGGTCTTCTGTCATTTATAATCAATACTAAGTAATATAAAGATACCGCCAATTTTTCAACCTCTAGATGCCACTGTATCTAGAAGTCATTCTGGAACTGTTGCAGCATGAAGAGAATTCAGTCTGAGGCCAAAACCAAACCTAAGGATGACAGACAGTGATACAAAGTCAACCAACCCTACAACTGTCTTCCTGAGGACTTTTATTATGTGAGAAAATATATTTCATTATTGTGGAAGCTACTGAGTTGGTGATTTCGGTTTTTTACAGGTTTCTCACAGCTCTTACAGGATTTAATGGTTTCTAATGCTTGAAAACTACACGTTCCTTCAGAAAGACTCAGCTGACTAAAGATTGGGGGGAGCAGTATTATATATGAAGTGTAAAGGAAGGTGTATAACAAAACATTGAAAAATGGAAAAAGAGAGAAAAAAACATAAACCCATCAGTCCACAAAACCCAGGATGATATAGTCTTTTAAAAAAAGAATTTATATAGTCACATATATCATTACACGTAGGTAATCACACTATATCAGTGGTGGCGAACCTATGGCATGTGTGCCACAGCTGGCTTTTATCACTGAAAGCTCTAAAAGGTTCGCCATCATTGCCTTATATGTCTAACTTTATCTCTCCTACTAAACACAAATAAAAATATCAGACAAAAATGTGAGAAGCAACTGCCTAGGAATTCAGAAAAGGAAAATAAAATAAGGCAGTATCAAGAGGAGTTCAAAACTTGATGTAAAACCACAATGGTGGCAGTAATCTTGCCGGTGTTTTATTGGTCAATTTTTACATTCTGTCTGTTTTGCTTCTTTACCTTCCAGGTTTTACTGCAAGGTGGGCCAAATCAGGAAACAGCTCAGCAGATAGAGACACAGGCCTTTATGGACAGAGGACTGGAAGGAGAAGCCACTGCAAGCTGGTGAGTGTGGGACAGGTCTTCTTTTTCTTTTCTCCCCTCCCATCCCTGACATAGGCATTGCCATGGCAGGGAAAGGGGCTCCTATAGGAAGTGTGGAGGGATTCCCAGTATCTTTTCTCTCACCTTTCTTTCTCAGTGCTAGGGATCGAACCCAGGGTCTCCCACATCCTGAGCATATGCTCTCCCACTAAGCCCCAGCCCAGTCCTTATTCTCGCTGTTTACCCTGAGTGTGGGTCCAAGTGTGTGGAACTGGAAACGTTTTTATCATGAGGCTAAAACTCTTAAGAAACCGCATCTCTCTGGCCAGAGTGGCCTGGAAAAGAGGCCTGTGGGAAAAGGAGAATGCAGAGGGAATCTCAGAGAAGAGATTTTGATAGTGGACCTTAGCCTGTGAATGAACTGATGCAAGTTCCAGGATCACATCCAAATTATACACGAAGGAATACACCAGAAAAGAAAATAGAAAAAAAATATAGTGAACACTCAGAAGTGAGCTGACATTGGAACCTCTGTCCAGAGAGGGCAAGACAGAAATTGTGGTCTAAACCCATGCATTCTCCAGTGGGTTTCCATAGGGCTCAGAGACTCATGTTATATGAGTCCAAGAAGCATGATGCTCAAAGCATCATGTTATATTTAAATAATATTTTAAACATTCAGGAGGAAGTCCAAAGTTAGTTGACACACGAGGAACCATGAAAATCTGACCCATTATCAAAGGAATCAAGTATTGTCAATTCCAAGATTAAGCAGACATTGGAATTATAATACAAAGACTTTAAAGAAACTTTTACAACCAATCTCCATGACATAAAGATAAAAATTCTTGAAACAAATGGAGGGATCAGTATTCTCTGCAGAGAAATAGAATGTATGTTTTAAAAAAGCCAAATGAACATTTTAGAACTGGAAAATATTATAACTGAAATTTAAAAAAAAACTCACTGGACAAGCTCAGTTAGCAGTGTTGGGATGACAGAGGAAAGAGTCAATAAACTTGAAGGTAGATCAATACAAATCATGAAAATTGAAAGAGAAAATAGAACAGAGTTTTAAGAACCTGAGGGGCAAAATCAAAGGTCTTATACTGATGTTATTGGTGTCCCTCAAGGAGGGGAAAAATGATTAAAAATCTTTCTACCTCACACTCAGCCAAACTGGCCTCAGAACCAGGAAAAAAAGTTTTAAAACCTGATACTTATTTTATTTTGTTGCTGGAGAGCAGAGAAACTTGATTGTTTAATGCAAGAGGCAGGCCTGGCTGAGTTGGGCCATCTCTGGGCTATCTTCTTCCAACTGTAAATCTAAGGATTCCTGAGACTAGAGCAGGCCATGTCAAAGCTAATCACAATGACCTCACTTTTGCTGCAAATGGCCAAAGAACGTGGAGAGGAATAAAGAGAGAATACTGGACAACAAGCAAGCGGGTCGAGTCATCTCAGGGAAGTGCTTCAAGTGAGATGAAAAGCCCAGGCTGCTCCTTGGGAGAATGATCCTCTTCCTTGTGGATGTCCTGACCATCACAGGCCACAAGACTTGCTGCTTTTCAAGCAACAGCCTTTGGGTGTTTTCTCTATAATCAACCCGATGTGCTGCTTACTTCAGATCACATAACTAGGACTAAAAATAAAATCAAAATCTTTTCAATGATTTCACATGTAAAGACTGCTGGGCTTTGTACCTTTGCTGTTTATATTGCTTTACGAATAATCATTTTATCTACGATATGCCAATTCAGGAAATTCTGACATTTAAATAATTTATGCACCTTTATATTTTATTATGTATGTGTAGGGCTGGAGGTTTATCTCAGTGGCACCAGTGCCTGCCTGGCAAGCGCAAGGTCCTGAGTTTGATCCCTGGTTACACACACAATATATATATATATTCATATATATCTATGTATATAATATTTGTGTAAAGCATTATCCATTAAAAGTACAAAACATTTTTGTAGACACTATCTCTATTCTTTGGGATGACCAAATTATTAAAAATTATACTTGGTGTCCAAACATTTTTGAAATTGGATATCCCTGATATAGGACTGTATACAGATATTTTAACTATTTATAAATTTTAAACAGCAAACTAAAGATTTTCAGTTTTTAAAAGATTATCTTCAGCTTGATGCAGTTTGCAAAGTTATAGCTTTGTGTGCAACATAAATGTTGCTGCTAGTTTTCTAGAACCCTTAGGTCAGAAAATGTTCATAAACAAAAAAATTTCAGGCAAGAATAAAATCTGAAATAGAATAAATGCCATTAAAAGCCCTTACCAATGCATTCAGGCTGACGAACTATAACAAAGTGGTTGAAATGTTGGTTGTGATAAAGAAACTGCACATACATGAAAAGCCAGGTTGGTAAAGAGAAATAGCTCAGCTATACTACAAAGAAAAGGAAGCTCAGATTTTGTGCAAAGAGATGGTGCATAGGGCAGAAGAGCAGGAAGCCCAAGGGTGAGTACACTCAGGAACCCTGATCTGTCACTTTGGAGAAACCTCCATCTCCCTTATCTACAGTGATTTTCTGCCACCTATCAGACACCAGATGGACACCCAGCTGTTAGAAAACACTGTCTGCTTACCTTCTCCATGGAAGTATAGTGTGTGGAAGGTACCGTTTTAGAGTCTTGTTCTTTCATGTGAGAACTGCTTGTAAGGCAGCAGGAGCTCAGGGCAGGGGTTGCATGTTGCAAAAACGTCCAGAAACATCAAATATTATGCTCTCTGCAGAAAGGTAGGCTGCAGCTTTAGCCGCTGATTCTTTTGGCTCAAGCTGAGTCAAACAGTACACAAAGAATAGACAAAGCCTGTACACGACTGGCAGTCACCACAGGGGATGCCAATCCAAGGCGGGCTCACTGCAAACATTGTTCCTGCCCAGTGGAAGAGCTGCTTCCCTGCAGCCAGTTGAAGCATGGCCATCTTTCCTCCTCCATCTTCAGGAAAAGTCTCTATGGCAAGAAGACAGGAGGAGAGTCTTTTGCTCACTGAGGACCCTTGTTCCTGTACATGTTTGATGTTTAGTCATATGGAGATTTTTTTGCTCAATCCTCATTGATTTTAATCTTGAGATTAAAAAAACAAACAAACTATAAAATGAGACCTGACATGACTGTTAAAAATAATTTCTCTTTCAATGGCCCAGCCTCAGTGTGGTTTCTTTTCTGGAAGAATACTGAATTAGCAAGGTGCCCTGAACATCAGCACCCATGTCATCCACCCAACCTGTGGGCACACAATCAAATCACTCAGTTATTTTTTACTCTAATATGAATTCTCATAGGTCACTTTCTTGAGTGTATCCTACTAGTTGTCATGGTATATTGCATTTTTAAATACACTGTTTTTTTTCTTCAAGAAGTAAAAAGTATTTCCTTTCATTTGATATTATGGGTGTCAAGGATAATAAAATATTTGTATTCAACGATCTGACATAGGTTCATTTTTTAAATGAGTATTTCTTAAACATGTATAAAACATCCTTTTAAGAACAAGCCAAAAAAAAAAAAAAAAAAAAAAAAAGAACAAGCCAACCACTATTTTTTTGACTTTATAGAAAAGAAAATTAACAGTCGGCTTGACTTCTACAGAGCTCGGCCCTGCAGTGGGAACAAGAGAAATTCCAGGAATCCCAATAATTAAAATGATGTAACCACCATTATGTTGCTATTGATCAGTTTAGGAATAGCATAAAGATATCTGCATATTTCAGTCCTATATGGGATAAAAAGTTGGGCAGAAGAACACATCTCTCAGCACAGTTCCTTTTGAATTTCCTCCTGTGTCAGTTGTAGAATCAGACTGTTGACTGGTTGTTTATAGTGCCAGCGGGATCCTGGGCATGTCTAAGACAGGGTCTGCATGGGCAGGAGATGTGTAGGGTGGATAAAACACAGGGCATACTGAAAAACAGAATGAAGAGAACTAGTTTCTTAGTAGGCTTGCTTTCCTATTTGTAGTTACATGGTTGTAAGACTCTTGTTTTGGTCAAGTATATGCCCACTTTCCCACAAATACATGATGATTTTTATATTCATAAAATACTCACTTCCAAAGTTAATCTTCAAATGTCCTTGAGGGTAGAAAGGCAAAGAAATGTGCCATTGTTCACTTAGATGACACAAAGCACCTCCCAAGATTTGCTCTAATCTGCTAATACCTTGTGGCAGGTGTGAGCAGGAAAAAGAATTCTCACAAGAACCATTTTCTCAGTTGAACAAGATAGAAATGGCACTGGATTAAGTTCCAATATCATCTGTGACTGTGGCATATAAAGACATAAAAGAAGTTTATAATACTGCCAGCTACTCTTACAATTAATACTGTCTCTAAAAATCCATCTTTACGCCTATTCCCACAACTTAAGAAGATGCAGTGCAACAGGGTCAACAATATAGCTAATTCACAGCAGGTCTATAACCCATATATGTTTTGGTAATTCATTTACAAAGTCCCATTTTTAAAAATAAAGCAGGTAAAATGACATTGATTGTTTAATCATAGTTAATCACATAGTTCCTCAGTACAGACCATGGCAGCCATCAGAAGACAAGCAGGGACAGCAGTGACAGAGGGAGAACCAAAGTCTCTGGAAGATACAAGGACATGGTGTGCTACAAAGAATTTCTATGGAAACTCACAAGGGGATAATTCCCACAGAAGAGAACTTCAAGAATAGAGTAGCCGACAATCTGATTTCTGAGTATGACTAAACAACTAAACATACAAAGACAGAATGCACAAATCTTCAACAACAGGAGTCATAGTACTGATGGGATTATCCATTTTTACAACTTGGAGATGCAGACAGGCCATTAGGCTCAACACAGATGTTCTAAGAGTTTATAAAACCAATAATTTGAAGTAACTGATACCATTGTTCCAGTAAAAACAACACAAAAATAAATAAGACTTACATTTGGCAGAAGGGCAAAGAAAAAAGTTAAATAAAGAAGCACAAAAATAAGACAAGTTATCATCTTCTTAAGTCTCTAGTTTCATGCAGACTGATGATAACTCATTATAATGATAGCATAGAAGGTAGTATTTTCAAGCCTTTTTTTTTTTTTTTTTGAGACAGGGTCTCACTATGTAGTTCAGGCTGACCTTGAACTCACTATGTAGTAACCCAGGCTGGCCTCAAACTCTCAGCAATCCTCCTGCCTCAGCCTCTCAAGTGCTGGGAATACAGGCATGCACAACCACTCCCAGCTTAGCATTTCCAAGATATTTCTATGCTATTAACAAATAGTTATTTATAAGTCCATACTGTTATGCAGTTATACCTGTTTCAAAGAAGGAATAGTTATAGCAATATATAAATAAATAAAATATAGTATTTTTGGTATCTCAAAAGAAAGTAGAATAGATATAGCCTTTACTATAAATCAGACATAACTGATTTCATTGTTGCTTCCTCATTAAATCTTTTTTTCCCCCATTAAGTTTATTGGTACATTTTAGGTGTAAAATACATTTACATACATCATTGGGATCTTGTACCATTACATGAGTGTCTTGGTTCTTATTTTTTTTCCCCTTCCCCTGCCCTTCCGTCACCCGCTCCACCCTTCCCTATCTGCAAAGACTTTGTTTCCATTTTTTTCCTTTTCTCATATTTTTTCTTTTCCCTTCTTTCCTTTCCCCTAGCCCTCCCACTTCCACTGCTCCTTTAGACTTTTACTTCCTATTACACAATGTCAATTATACATTTTTAAAATAAAAATAACAAGACCAAGGAGACATTACCACAGATTTTACAGAATTTAAAAGGATACAGAAAGGATATTTCAAAAATCTGTTTTGAAATAAATTTGACTACTTCTAAGAAATACCTTGGAAGAAAAATTAATGAAACTAACTCTGGAAGAAATATAAAATTTGAATAGCACCTATTAAAGAAAGTATATTCCTAGCTTGAAAACCTACCTATATGACAACAACAGGCTCTTATACATTTTAA